CCAATTAATTATGTTAAAACTGTCCTGGACGTGAAGCGGGACAATTGCGGAACATTTTACGGGACCTAACTTTACGCTATGGAATCATGTACTTACCGGCAATTACTTGGTAATAGTCACCCAACTAAATTAGTAAAATTGCCGAGGCCCGAAAATTTAACTCTCGATTAAAACATTTTAACTCCTCGCACATGGGCCAGAATTTTTTTTTTCATGGCCAAAAGTCCTAAAAAAGTCAAATCTTCTAAACTTTTTTTTAATTTTATTATTGAAACATAAGTGCTTTACTCTACTCAAAAATGTATTCGTTTAATTACTAGAGATGAAAGCGAGCTTGCAAGAACCATTTATAATGGCTTTATAATTGTCGAATTTTCGTAAATTTTTTTTTTTCAAAAATATTTATTCTCAATATTTACATAACTTTTTTCAATTAAAAAAGCTTTGAACTTTTTTTATTTTAAGTAAACATATTAACTTAGTGTTAATAAAAAGTAAATGTTATAAAGGGGTTTTTCTAAATTTCCTCTTCTTCCTTTTTCTAAATACCACTCAAAGATTGTTTGATTTTCTGATTTTTGCATTTACTAAACGGAAGTTATTGATCAAAAAAAAAAAAAAAAAAAACAGCTGCGACCATGTATTCGTTATGATATATTTTTAAGTTCAAAATCGACGACTTTTTTTGCTTTTATAAAAAGACCAATTTAAAGTTAAGATATTTGTTTAAGAATTATTGTTTTTTTTTTTTTTTTTTTTTTTTATTAAACACATTGAACTGTTTTTGTTTATAATAAACTTTTTATTATTATTTTATTGTTTTCTAAAAAGGTAAAAAAAAAAAGAAAATCATTTCACTATAAATACGTAAAAATCAAATATTTAAGTATTCGTTTACAACACACTCGTAAATTTGATCGAAAAGCTACAATGACCAATTCAATTATTTAATGCTTTCGAGTGACCCAATTCTTTCATCTCTAAACTATGCAAGATCGAAATGTAAACATAACAAAATGAATTTAGATAGAGACGCAGTTGATCTTCTTTTTTCAAGAAACTGAAAAGGAAAATACAAATGATGCTAATGATGATATTTATGTGGATGAAGAATATAATGAGTTGGATGAGGATGATGTTTTTGATGACAGAAATGAGGAACTAAAACTAATAAAAATAAATGAAATAAGAAATTTAAATAAGCACAATGACATTATTGAATCATCTGAAAATGAAAACACTGATTTGATTGCTATGCTGACTTTGAAAATAGATTTTATTTATATTATTTTTACCATTTAATTTAAGCAAAACTATTATGTGCATTAATATGTAAAATAGGAATAATGTTTTAACTTTGAGCTAATAAAAATAAATTCTAACTTTTAACTTACTATTTTATATTAAAAATATAAAATATAATTATTGTAATTCACTAGAAGATTATATGAAGGTTGTTAATGACTAATATTTTAATTCTTTTTTAACCTTTACAGTATGTGCAAGTGCCTAACTTCAATTTTCTTACAGTTTCTACGTTAATTTTTTATGCTTAAAGCATGGCCTATTATATTATACGGCCATTTTAGAGGCCGATTATAAGAGGGCTATTTATTAAAAAGATGGCTGCGCAATTACAGAGAAAGAAACTCATCATCCAGACTAAATGTAATTTCGAGTACTAAGAAAAGTGTATTCATCAGCGATAATAAATCATAGAGATTTGTGTATTTATAAACATATATATCTATGTATATTATACATGTATTTGTATCTAATATATATTTTTATATTTGTACATTATACATTTAAATTGACAACATGATTTTTACAAAGAAATTTACAAAAAAAACCAAGGTTTAAATATGTTCTTTTATTGTTTTATCTAATTTTATGTTAATATATATATATATATATATATATATATATATATATAATATATATATATATATATATATATATACCTATATAAGGTATGTATATATATATATATATATATATATATATATATATATATATATATATATATATATATATATATATATATATATATATATATATATATATATATACCTATATAAGGTATGTATATATATATATATATATATATATATATATATATATATATATATATTATATATATATATATATATATATATATATATACCTATATAAGGTATATATATATATATATATATATATATATATATATATATATATATATAATAAATATATATATATATATTTATATATATTTATATATATATATATATATATATATATATATATATATATATATATATATATATATATATATATATATAGGGTTATTTTTCTCTCTGTCTACTTTTAAAACTTTTAACAGCATCTTTTCGTACAGTAGCATTGATTAAGTTCTGCTTATTGTTAAAAAAACATTAATTATGATTTTAGAAGCAAAATTAAAACCCCATTTTTTGTGTATATCACAGGTAAAACAAACTGTTGGAAAGTATTTTGATAAAACAAAGCTTGATACGTCTTTGACATTAGCACCTTGTTTAGTTATTAAATCTGAAAGGTTATCTAAGACTGCAAAACATCCACATGTAAGTTCTTTAAGTGAAAGTGATGGTACTGTAAGACCACCTCTGGAAAGTATTTGTAGATATGGACAAATAATTATATTGCTAGTATCTGTAGCTAGCAAAAGTTTGCAATAATTACATTTGCTTCTTTTGATTAATTTTTTAGCAATGTAACCTGTTATTGTTGTTGCAACTTCTTCTGTTTCAGGTGAGAGAGTTGATTCAGATATCTTGTTTGAGTTTAAATCTAATATTGCCAGTAATTCATTATTAATTGGGTTATTGTGGGTTTTTTTTAGATCTTCATCCCAAAAATTTATATTCTCCTTAATAAAGACCAACATGCTAAAATAATTTCAGAATGTTGAACTTCTAGTAAGCTAACTAGAAATCTTCCACCACTAATCTGTCGATATTGCGAAAATCTACGCTCTATTGGGTCACTTTGAAGCCGTGAAGTAAGTAAATATAAATAACCTTCTTCAATAAGGTCATCTATAAGCATTGCTTGAGAACGCAGAGTTGTGATGAGAGCCGATGATGTTTGTTGTGATAAGGTAAAATATGGAGATTTCTGCCAAAGTTTAATCCAAATAGCTAATTGTCGAAAAAAAGTTGTTTTACCATCATTAAGAATAATCGCATTACCAAGTTTATTTGGGCTAAATCGCTCTTTAGAATTTGAAATAGTCCACCATTTGTGAAAAATTGTAAGAAAACCAGAAATGTCTTTACGTCCTGGAAAATAACTCTTGAAATCTGCAATTGTTGTTTCATCAAAAATTGATAGTGCAAGAGAAACGTTTTGCTTTTTGTTACCAGGGTGAAGACTCTGATATGAAATTTTTGGAGCTTTTCATAAATTGCCTTGAAGTTTCTCATCTTTAGAATGTAGATGATGAAAATCTCCCCAAGCAATATAACCAGCTGGACAATTATTAGAATCATCTTTTATATTAAATGTAAAGGATGGAAAGACAAATTTTTTACAGTGTAATAAATTATTTCTGATATTTTTAACAAGATGAACACTATCATAAAATAAGTATATTTTAGTATTTGGACTATCAGGATGATTAAAAAAAGAAATTTGATAGCGAAAGAGAACTAATATAATCGGATATTTGATCTGAAAGCTATTTACCACTTATGTTAACTTCAGGTATCGCTTTAATAATGAAAGGAATTGATTTTTTTAAACCAACTATTGTAAATGCAACAACTTCTTTGTACAAAGTACCTGTATCATAATATACATAAATACCACTACAATATGTAGTGGTATTTATGTTTGTTTCTGAAGATAAAATTCATCTACAATTAATATTACATCTTCATGTATTGAACCTTTCTCACAAAGTGTTTTAACAGCCTTAATTGCATCAACTCCACCTTGTTTTATTTTATTTAACAAAAAAATTGAAGGTAATGGAAATGATTCTAGTAAAATTTCATATGCTTGTTTAGATGTATATCTTAATAATATAGCATGTCTAATCATATCAGCAGAATATTGTGGTTGTCCCTTGGCTTTATAGTATGTTCGACTATTTATTTCATCAAGAAGTATATTTCTATTAGAAGAAGTGGTATTTTTTATGTACGCTGAAAGATTTTCTAACATACTTAAACTAGTTAATTTAGAATTACAACCATGGAGGAAGTGGAACATTATTTCCTTTATATTGCAAAGCTACACATAAGCAATAGTCAATTTTTATTGATTCAAGAATTGATGGAAAAAATGTTATAGGATCAAATTTTAAATTATAATAAACTACACAATTGAGATGTTTTTTAAATTGGAAATCTTCTGGTGAATGTTTAATACTTAGCATGGTCCATTCAGTAACTTTATCATTTTCAGAAAAAAAACTAAGTTCATCTTCTTGAAAAATACGACTTTTAGGTGGTCTTCTCAAAGCAATAGGCGATGGTAATGTGGAAGGACGTTTTAAGCAATCATTGGAGAAAATTTCAGGAATAGGATCTTGATTCCAATTTAACTTGCATTTTTTACCACGGATGATAAACTTTTCATTAAAATGCATTTCACACAAAGCGGAGTTTGGTGAAGGCACCCAATTAGTACGATTAACAAAATGAACCCAATAATTCAGTAACTGTTGATTTTTTAACGGAAAATGAAAAGAAGCAATTTTTTCATCTTCTAAAGAACTGTTGTATCCAGTTTTACAACCATATGCAATACACTTGTTAACCATGATATGATTCAGCTTTTTTAGTATTTATTAACTTTCTAAAACAAATATATATATATATATATATATATATATATATATATATATATATATATATATATATATATATATATATATATATATATATATATATATATATATATATATATATATATATATATATATATATATATATATATATATATATAATTTGCAAGTTCTACTTATTATGCAAGTTGCTTTTTATTTTGCATAATATGCAAGTTTAAAATTAATAGTTTTATCATTCAACTTGTTGTCTTTTTTTGTGCGAAAATAGGCCTCTTAGAATCGGCCTCTAAAATGTAACATATACGGCCGTATAATATAGTAGGCCATGCTTAAGGTTTTTTAAAGTTTTTAATCAAATTGCTGCAACCCATCTTAAAATGACTTAAGGGACCCTTAACGGCTAAGGGATTCTTAAGGACTAATTTTTAAACTCAGGAAAAAAAATACGGAATGATTTTGTAAATTTGCTGTTGAGAAAGCATGGTTTTAAAACTTCTTTGGAAATTCGCTTATAAGTGATCAAAATTAAGTCAAATATTTATAGTTATAATATGGTTACAATTTTAATATCTATAAACGAGCTTTAAATAATCCTAATAATCCAACAAAATATTTTTTAGTGTATAAATTATTGGCTTTATCATGACTTCAAGAAATGATAGAAGAAAACGTGAAAATGAAATGGATACTTTTATATCGAGATTGAAAGGTAAAATAATACAAATAAGCAGAAGTTTGTTGATCTTGACAATCACGTAAAGAAAATTATTATAGTATATTGTTTTTTATATCTCTATTAAAAGACAGTCTGCCCCGTATATTCTATGTAGAATTTTAAATTATCAAGTTTGAAATATTTTATGTTTTTCATATTTGTTTTAGGAGAAACTGACAGCTATTTAACACAGTTTAAAACTGTAGCAGAAAATGAAAATGTTACAATTGGCGAAGACTATTTTGACGAAAATGTATCTTCTATTTTTGATGAGGCGACTGGATGTGATAATGAAGGTGATGAGGATGAAAACAATGAAAGTAATTTTTCTTTTCTTATTTAAAAAAAAATCAAATTTGTTATAAATTTTACACAGTAATTTTATCAAGTGCAGTTAGTGGACTAGCTGTTGACTGTTGAACTAATGACCATTAGCAATTTAAACGTTTTATACATTTCAACAATGATTAACAAGTTACCTTTTTTTCTTTAGGTGAAGTTCTATCAGAGGAGAATCATGAAATCAACAGCTTCTCATCCCTGCATAATAAATTGTTATACTTCTGTTTACTTTATAAACTCAGCAATAGTGCAATACTCTGTTTGCTTACCATTTTAAACAAGGAAGGAGTTGATGTTCCTGTTTCAGTTTATCTTTTTAAAAAACCTCAAGTTGCAAAGAAGGTCCAGGTGTTAAAGAATACTCTAGATTGCAGTAGAAATTTTGGTTACTTATCAATTTTTGAAAATCTATTTTACTGTATTAAAAATAGTCTAGTGGTATTCAAAACGCAATACGTAGATCTTAAAATTAAAATTGGAATTGATGGTATTCCAATATTCAAAAGCTCACCGATACATATCTGGCCAATTTTATTCAATATAAGAAATGTAGGTTTTAATAAACCTCTTCCTATTGGTGTTTATTCTGGTTTATGCAAGCCAAATTTTTCTGGTTTTATTGAACAATTACACAAAGAGTTATTTTTGTTTAAATCTTATGTTAATGTATCTGGATTTTTTATTAAAATAACCAATGTTTTATTTATCTGTGATGCTCCAGCAAGATCATTCTGTCAGTGTGTGAAAAGTCACTCAGGGTATAATGCTTGTCCATACTGCAGGATTCCAGGTGTGTATGCTACAAATAAAGTAATATTTCCGTTTGGTTTTACATATCCTTCTCGTACTGACTGTAATTATAAATCACTATCAAAATCGAACCAAATATTCTTATCTCCACTAGCTGATGTTGCAAATTTAAGTTGTGATTTTCCTCCTGAATAAATGCACACTGTTTGTCTAGGTGTTATGAGAAGACTTATAATGTCATATTTTTCAAAGAAATATGGTCGGTTAAACTGTCGGGTCAGTGGGAATCTGAAAGAACTGCTAGAACAAAAAGTTAAATTGTGGTATGGAGCTTTGCCATCTGTATTTTATAAGAAAATAAGATCTTTTCGAAATATTAATTATTTTAAAGCCACAGAATTTCGAACAATTTTACTGTATACAGGCCCTCTTCTTTTTAAAGGTATCATTCCTTTAAACTATTATAATCATTTTTTGTGTTTACATTTTGCTATGTATGTGTTTATTGGAACATCACACAAACATTGTTATGACAATGCTACTTCTTGTATACAACATTTTCTCAATGGTTTAAAGGAACTTTTTAGTGAAAGTGCTTATACCTTCAATGCACATATGCTATTGCATTTACCAGAATTTGTGCAGCATTTAGACATTTAGATAAGTTTTCTGCTTTTCCTTTTGAAAATTAATTGTATTTAATAAAACAGCGTGTAAAAACTGGAACCTATGTATTTGAACAGTCCAATAACTCTGTTTTAACTATTGGAAGTTTATATTCCGATCCACCAAAAAGAAGTTTTTTTTTCTCCAATAAATATCCCAATAATACTGCTCTTGTTGTATTTCAATCAAATATTGTTCCAATTATTATAACTTCTATTAGCGACAACCATATTGCTTCTGGATCCTTATTATTATTTAAATCCGATTTATATGTTCATCCTTATCCTTCCAGTTCAATAGGTATAGGTAGGTATATACAGTCTAATATCAATGTAACGGATGTGAAGATTATTAATAAATATATTTATTTTCTTGATGGCAATGAGTACATTGTTATACTATTTGCAAATAATGTTTTTAAGGATTGACAATCAATGAATTTTAATAGCTGATTTTATGATGTAAACTTTTAAATATAATAATATTTAAATTATTTTATTTTTTTGTTTTACACATTGATTTTTATAAGAAACTAAACCAATTTACTTGTAGTTATGTTTTATCTTCAAGATACATTTATTTAAATATATATATATATATATATATATATATATATATATATATATATATATATATATATATATATATATATATATGTAAGTGTATATATATATATATATATATATATATATATATATATATATATATATATATATATATATATATATATATATATATATATATATATATATATATATATATATATATATATATATATATATATGTAAGTGTATATATGTGAATATTAAAGATAATATCTTTATTATCATGTATAATACTGTATATTTGAAAAAATTGTTCAATAGATACATTAGAGCTATATAGGATGTATTACTGTTGCCCCCAGTACCAGGAATCAGCTAAATATAGCTATTTCATTTAACCTATTTTTCAAAATTTAGAACAATTATTTAAATGTCATCTACAATAGAGTATGTGTGTCAAAAATATGTTTTAACTTATTGTTTACATGTTTAACTTATTGTAAACATGACAAATCAATATCAATTGTTCGTGTTGATGATGTCATTGGCTGGACTCAAGAGCAGTTTGAGAAACTCAAAATTTGTAGAAGAGTAAAACTTATGGTGAACAATGATGATAGTATGAATAAGGTTTAATTAAATCGCTTTCATGTTTTGTTTATTTGATTAATTACAATTAAAAGTTTTTTTATGTATATCTCTTGTTTTATTAGGTATTAGTTTTGCAATGCGCAACAAGTTATGAAGGACTCAAAGATACTTTAAGGTTTGTTTTTGAAATGAAAAGAAAAAAACAAACAATAGGTTTCATACAAACTCATTTCAATCCAGTCCGTGACCTAAACAGACAAAGACTGCCCCCAGTTTATGTAAGTATAAAATATAAATAGGCTAATATATTTTTTATTATTTTCTTTAATTTAGACTTAGGCTTTCTACTTTCTGAAAGAATTTATTATTTTAATTTTTTTATTCAGTTTTTATTCAGCCTCTTCACACATCTTCTGAAGGTTCAAATTTTGATACAGATCCTTCTGATTCTATCGTAATATTTTATTTAATGCAGATTTTGAAACAGAAATTAATTAATGCAGAACATTTAATTAATACTCATTTATCTATAGAAATATTTAAATTTTTTAGGCACCACATAATCAGGATACTGCTGCTAAAGCAGTTGCGTTAAAGCCTCTGCCACCACTTAAAACTCAAAAGTTTCCTGTTTCATACAAGGTAGTTTTTTTTTTAATCTAGCTTCTTCGCACAGCTTCTGGAGATTCAAATTTTGATACAGATTCTTCTGAGTCAATCAGAATATTTTAAATAATACAGATTAGACAATTTAGTTAATACTCCTTTATCTATAAAAATATTTTAATTTTTTAGGCATTACTTAATATGGCTACTGAAGCAGTTGCTTTAAAGCCTCTGCCACCACTTAAAACTCAAAAATCTCCTGTTTCATACAAGGTAATTTTTGTTTTTATTCAGCTTCTTAACACAGCCTCTGGAGATTTAAATTTTGAAACATATTCTTTTGAGTCAATCAGAATATTTTAAATACAGATTAGACAGTTTAGTTAATACTCATTTATCTATAGAAATATTTTAATTTTTGAGGTACTGCATAATCAAGATATGGCTACTGACGCAGTTGCTTTAAAGCCTCTGACATCACTTAAATCTCAAAAACTTCCTGGTTTACATAAGGTAATTTTTAATTGTCCACAAAATGTCCACATTTTGTATTTTTTATGTTTATTATCAATAAATATTCAACATTTAATGGGCGTGTGTCCATTAGTCAAAAGATTATAAAAATTTAGAAAATGTTTAAATAATTAGTCGAACTTTCTGGCAAGAAGTCTGCAAGAAAGTAAAATGTAAAACTCTGCTTTCTTGGAAACACAAAAAATTAAGATACGAATGTCGACTGACGTTATTTATAAGAATTAATTGTATATAAAGTAATTTATCAACACAAAGTTCAACAATATTTCTTCAAAATAATCGATTTTTAATAGCATGCTTCGTGTATTTTGAAGTTTTTAATTATTGATTTTATTGTTTTTGTCTTTCTTTTTGATAAATAAGTTATGAGACACTTCTTATTTTATCTGATGTAATTTATGATTTATTGGTGTTGATATTTTATTTTTGGAAGGTTCCAAGCGTACAACTACCTTTATCTACCCAACCAAATGTAAGTTTTTAAACATTTTGATCTAGTTGTATTTAAATCAAAATAAATTTAATTCTGGAATAGCAAAAAAAGTCAGGGTCCCTTAAGGGACCCTTAAGTTTTTTTAAGGCGGGAATTATCAACTAATTAGTCTTCATATAATCCTATATTATCATGAAAAGCAAAATTTCTTATAGGTTTCAAATGTTACACGAACAGATATTCAGTCAATTGTATGCTGTTAACTATTCATTGTTCATATATAAAAATTATTTTGAAGACATGTATGTGTATATATATATGTATATATATATATATATATATATATATATATATATATATATATATATATATATATATATATATATATATATATATATATATATATATATATATATATATATATATATATATATATATATATATATATATATATATATATATATATATATATATATATATATATATATATATATATATATATATATATATATATATAATGAAAATATACGGAAATATATTTTAACTTTAGTCAAGTCCCCATGATTTCACTGACACAAGTTTATTGCGGATGCACGATAGTATGCTAGATGTTTGTAGCCGTCTTAATGTTGAACCATTTAGTGCACAAGGTTTAAAATTTGTATTTTGTAATTTTTGTAATTTTTTGATTTTGAAATAAATGGCAGAAATATTATGTATCTTAATTGTGGTTATTATAACAGGACAGTTTCTTATGAATGCATACATTCTACGTGAATTGACATCAATTCCGTATAAGTTAAATAATCTGGAACAAAGACAGGGAGGATTAGAGGCACGTGTTTGCAGTGTTCCTATTGATAAAAATACCTCAAATATCCAATTTCCTGTTTTTACCTCTCCGATGCAATATTCTGAAGTTGCTAAGCACCCAAAGGATATGGTAAGTTATGCGAGTATACCCATGTTGTGTTGGATTGCCGAGAAGTACATCTCTTAAAAAAGATTTTAATATGAATGAGATATTACATTTATCTTGTTACCTGATAGTTTTTAGTTGTCATGGATGAAGTTTGAAGGAGGGATGATTGTCAATGACCATATTTCTCGCGTCTTAAATAAATTGCTGACGCATGACTTGCAACGTAATATAAACAGGACCGGAAGTCATGGCAAGCTCAAGTTTTTTGATAACCTGGAAAATCTGCTCAAAAGTAAGTTTAGTTCAGATCTACTGTGAATGTTTTTGTATAAATAAGAGTCTGCGAGTCCACATTTGACTCATAGTGTTTGATTTAAAGACAACAAAAAGTTTGATTTAAAGACACAAAAATTAGTCTATTGATAAAATACTTTTAAGATGTTAGCAATTGATAAACTTTTGTGATAATAAGTTTTACTTATTATAACAACTAATTTACTTGTGTACTTATTTTATAAAAATTATTTATTTGTTAATTATTTATTTAGTTATAACAATTATATTATATACAATATGATTCTATGAAACAATCTGTTTTACGTGTGAATCCGTGTGAATTAACTATATTGTTTGAACTTATGATTTTATATTCAAATTAATTAATATTAAGTGATTGTTTTGTTATATTTATAGCGTCAACTATTCATTTTTTCCCCGGTACCACGACAAAAGAAATTGAATTAAAAGTAGCTCGATTTTTTAACAACGCCAGAGATCGCTCTGGTGCTCGAATGCAGAGAAGTTTAAAAAAGACCGATGTTTCAATCGAGGAAGACAAAGATGACGTTAGTAACGAGGGTAGTGAAGAGGGCAGTGATAACGAGACACAACAAAAAAAACGAAAAACTTTTAAATAAATATTAGTATTGTGTTTCAAGTTAATCTTTATATGGATACATTTATTGTAAGTTTTAATACCTAAAAATAAATAATATGAATAAATAACTATAAAAATTCATAAAAAGAAGTTTTTATTGAATCACTTATTAATAAACTCTTTTAAAAATGTCAATCTTTATAAAATTATAATAATTTAACTATATAAATTATGTTAAATATATTTAACAAAAAAAAAAAATTAAAAAACAACCACGCTTTACTAATCATATTTTGAGTAGTAAGGCGTGGTTTTTTTTTTGGTCGATTAAGGGCTAGCCCTTTAGGGACCCTTAAATTCCGCGCGGACATTTTCGTCAGGGTCCCTTAAGGGCTAGCCCTTAAGGGACCCTTAAGTTTTTTTAAGGCGGGAATTATCAACTAATTAGTCTTCATATAATCCTATATTATCTTCTAATAAACTTTATATATAAACTTCAAATTTCCAGACAAATAATTTTTTTCACGTCACAAACCATTGTAAAGTAAGAGTTAAACTAGCCTAAAATCTTGAAATTTCAAAATCGATTTTAAGTCTAAGTTATAGCTAGTCGCAGCTGATTTTATTTAATAGTATTAAACAACCCTTATACTTCGTAAATATCATTAATTCCAATTTTAAGAGAGCGGCATTTGGTTGAAATCGAATACTTAAATATTTGATTTTTACGTATTTATAGTGAAATGATTTTCTTTTTTTTTTCCTTTTTAGAAAACAATAAAATAATAAAAAAAAGATTATTATAAACAAAAACAGTTCGATGTGTTTAATAAAAAAAAAAAAAAAAAAAAAAACTATACTCCTTAAACAAATATCTTAACTTTAAATTGGTCTTTTTATAAAAGCCAAAAAAGTCGTCGATTTTGAACTTAAAAATATATCATAAAGAATACATGGTCGCAGCTGTTTTTTTTTTTTTTTTGAACAATAACTGCCGTTTAGTAAATGCAAAAATCAGAAAATTAAACAGTCTTTAAGTGGCATTTAGAAAAAGGAAGAAGAGGAAATTTAGAAAAACCCCTTTATAATACCAACAATTCTAAGACATATTATGAATAAATTAAATGCAAATATATAATTAAAACATTTACTTTTTATTAACACTAAGTTAATATGTTTACTTAAAATAAAAAAAGTTCAAAGCTTTTTTAATTGAAAAAAGTTATGTAAATATTGAGAATAAGTATTTTTGAAAAAAAACATTTTCCGAAAATTCGACAATTTTAAAGCCATTATAAATGGTTCTTGCAAGCTTGCTTTCATCTCTAGTAATTAAACGGATACATTTTTGAGTAGAGTAAAGCACTTATGTTTCAATAATAAAATAAGAAAAAAGTTTAGAAGATTTGACTTTTTTGGGACTTTTGGCCATGGAAAAAAATTCTGGCCCACTGTGCCACGGTTAAATATTTCGAAATAAATTAACCCCGGGAGTTAAATTATTTTAAAATATGGCAAAATGGATTAACCGGGGGCCTAAATATTTCCAACCCCCATCGTAATAAACTAAACCCTTTTAATTCGCGTTTTAAATAATTTAGCTTATAATAAGTTTTACAAAATTGCGTAAGTAGTATATTTTAATATATTTTTTTAATATAAACCTTCAGTTAGCGTTGAATAAAATTATTTTGTAACTGTTTATTTTTGCTAAGTTTGAATACTGTTGTGAATATAAAAAGGATATCAAAATAATAATAACAATATTGCGCAAACTTCAGCGAAACTTTCTCTTGCAATAATGTTTGAGATAGTAGAGTTTAAATAGCGAACTAGTTAGTTATCTAGATAGTTAACTAGTATATATATATATATATATATATATATATATATATATATATATATATATATATATATATATATATATATATATATATATATATATATATATATATATATATATATATATATATATATATATACATATATATATATATGAAAGATTAAATATTTGCAAAGCGATGTGACTTATAACCTTTAAAAAAACGTCCCAATTCTATGGGGATCTAAAGTTAAAAGTAAAATGATCAAATTTAACGATCTTTTCGGAACTAGAATCTAAAATTTTGAAGGATTTCTTATTTTACTAAGTACTTTCATCTGTATAAAAATAAGAAAAAACTGAGATAAATGGAGACATGGCGTAGGTCAATTGAATTACCTTAAATTTGTATTTATGGAGACATGGCCTGGGTCGTGGATTTACTCTAAAACTGTATTTATATGGAAATTATATAATCTATCAAATATATTTTTACCAAGTATATCAAATATAACCTAAAATAAAGATCCCCTTAACAAACAACATAAGAAACTATAACTAGGTTATATTTTATAACATTATAACAATAATATTTTAAATATTTTAAATAAATCTATTTTAAGTAACTTTTATCATATCATTATATATACAAACATCATTTCATCATTTATTGACAACATTAAAATGTAAATACGAATTAAAATGTCATTTGTTCTGTCTACAGAGTGGACAATACCAGACCTTTGTCTTTGGTAATTTATTTCAATTTTAGGCAAATTAGATAAAAACGATCACAACCATTGATCAAAACGATCACAACCAACCATATGACCATCACTCTTTGTAGTTTTTCAAATGCAAAACACTCTTTCCTCTTGATCTAGTTGAAGAGTTTTATCTGTGGTTTCTATGTGATGTCGTTCATTAGTTTTATCTGTGATTTCTAACTTCCTTGTCATTAGTTCTGATAAGATCACATGCTTCTAAAACGTTGTAATATATACAATCATCTCATTAATAAAATCAAGATCCAGTTCAATTCGAAAAATAAAAAAATTAATTGGAGTCTAGAATATAAAATCACAATAACATACTTCTAATATAAATATTGGAAGTTGTACCTGACTAAAGAATGGATGGGTTCTTTCTAATTTAAAGCTGCTATTGTATTTTTTTACATTAAAATTGACATTGTTTGTTGATGAAGCTAACCGAATAACTTTAAGACTATATGGATATTTCACCTCAATGATTCTATGCCCACAACATGAACAATGCATAAAACCATTAGGAGTACACCCAACTATGGCTTTTGTAACGTTCAGCGGCGCAACGATCTAATTTTTCAAAGTAGGGTAAGGTGGGGCAAGAAGCCCACCATAAGCAATTTCGTCTTTTTTTTACTGTTCCAATAAACGTATCTAAAAATTTGTGTTACAATTATTTCAGATACATAATAAACTTAAGTTTATTATGTATCTGTTCTTAATGGCTACTCAAGTTTTAATGGAAGTATGCTTTTTATAAACTGCTATAGAGTGGGCCTTTTGCCCCATTGCTGGGGCAAAACGCCCCTACCCTGGGCCTTTTACCCCAAACGTTAATAGCTTGAAATATTTCTTTTTTACAAAAAAAATTTATTGCAACAATACCCTTTTTACTATTCCAACAAAAGTTTTAGTAGAACACTTAGCATCATAATATTAGCGTAAACGGTAAAGAACTGGTCTACTTTTGGTCAATTAAATTCAACTGCTCGATTCATACTAATTGCCTCTGGAACTCTAATTGTTAATTCTGGATGACGTTTCAAAAAACCACTAAGCCAGTCTTTTCCAGTTTGCCTGGAGGAAGTATTAAATGAATGCTTCAAGTGAAGTCGCTGGGCCATATCAAACGCTAGCCGCCGGATATCCGTCGTAGTTAATCCAAATAATGCTCTTTCCATCATTTGGATGTGTTTAACAAGATCTTGTTCAATTTCAATAGAAAAAGTATTCACATGATTTCCTAATTTATTGCTCCCAACTTGTCTTACTTTGCCCTGCAAATGCCTTCTCAATGTCTTCCTTGAAACTCCAAAACTGTTTTCAGCTTTACGCAAAGACATACCATCTTTTACTGAATCTAAAGCCCGTTGTAAACCTTCTGCTCCATAACTTCCTCTTTTTGTCTTCCTTTTGTAATTTCTAAGCATATCTATAAATAAAATAAAGTTAAAATTTGAACATTCTACTTAAATAATGCAAGGGGTAAAAAGCTCAGGATGGGCCTTTTGCCCCATTAACAAACTGGGCTTTTTGCCCCAAAATGGTCGGTGCAAAAATTGCTAAAAACATATTATTCTATGGTACAATGAACGTTATGTTAATAATCAATACATAATTTGTAGGCTTACAAATACATAAACTCATTTAAATAATCAACTAAGTTTAACAATAATCTACAAAAAATTTTTAAAATTACGCAAAAAATCAAAATGTCCTATTCTTATTACCTGTCAAGTCTTCAATATTCTGTTAAAAATTATATTTCTACTAAAAATTCACCAAAATTCGCTTGCAACACTGTTACACATTTATCATTCATACTACAAAACAATAATTATAATATTTTACCTAGGTTCTTTATAACTGCAGGATGGGCCTTTTACCCCACCCTATTTGTAAAAAGATTTTTTTTTTTTAATTTTTAACTTACTTTACGTTCGATTTCTATTGCTTATATATATATATATATATATATATATATATATATATATATATATATATATATATATATATATATATATATATATATATATATATATATATATATATATATATATATATATATATATATATAAAATTAGTAGAAAATCATCTAACAAAATTTTTTTTTTATTTTACACAGTTTCAACAATAAAGATTCATCAGAAATGAATGATCAAATTAATAAAACTTTAATTTATAGCAAAAAAATTAATTACAGAAAGTCGCAAATATTTTAACACTGTAAATTTCACATATTTGTGGAATTTGTTGACACTATTATAAAAAGAATTTTTTAGAAATGATTACTTATGCTTTTTTAAAAAATATTTTTTAAAAGAGGAGATTTAATATAACTATTTTTTGAGCTCACTTATTTTTATAGTTTTTTACGAGAAACTTATTTTCGTGCCTGCATTTAGAAATCAAATCTGATTTTTTGATTAACAAACATTCTTGGTTTGCATGTGTAGTTATTTGAAATTTTTCTTGTAGACATAGTATGCATTTTTTGGAAATATTGTTGTATGCAGGCGCTGTTTTGAGGATGGAGCAATTCAGTATAAAAT